GGAACACCGGTCAGTCTAGTTTCGAATCTTGCCAAGGATGCTCTACGCTGTGGAGGCCTTTCAACGGGCCACGCTCGTGGACTTTTCGGTGGCATGCGGCTCCGCCGTTCTGATGCCGCTAACAAGCGCTCACTGCCCAAGCACGAGCGAGATCCTTCAATTGCCACTCTGCGATTCGACGCTGAGTTTGAACACTCTGTGCGAAGCAGATGCCGAGGCGAGGGCAAGAGATTGAGAGCCTGTAAGGAACAGAAAGTATCCTGAGGGACACTATTTTACTTATACCCGGACTGCATACGGAGCCTCCGTGCCAGGTGCTCACTGACAACTGTCAGGTGTTCAGCCCGCTGGACAACTGTAAACACTACGACGTCTACCGGAAGGAAGAGCCAGCCTGTGAAGCGATTGGCTGTGCAGCGCTCTCCTACTTCTTGTGGATGTCAGCTCTGATATGCTTCGGGGCTACGGTGGGATGGACCATAGTGTTCTACGCTCGTTGCCTGTGGCAGCGACAACCACAGAAAGCCTGGCACCTGCAGCAGCGTTTCGTTGTATTCTTCATCTTCCTCGGCTGCTTGATTCTGGCAGCATTACTTTCTGGTTTGATGGCTGGCAACGCTGCGGTCCTCGCCATGGCCTGCCTCTGCCCTCTAATGCCGATCTCGGCCTGGGCCTTGGTTCAGGGGATCGCTTTCTTGCCGGTGACGGGAGAGGAGGCTCCGTCTGTGCTCAACACCTCATGCTTCGGGTCTGTCTGACATTTTTGGGGCAGATCCGGGCTCGGAAGAGATGAAAGTTCTAGCAGGGGCAAGCTGGGAGGCTGCTCGCTGGTTGTCCTTGGCATGGTCTCGAAATCCCGTCATTGTCAAGGCTTTGGGAGCTTGGCGAAATTCGAACTCCCGCCGTGCGCATTTTGGCACGACTCGTCTTTCCAACTCCACAAATCGCCGCCACAGTCCTGCGCATCGGTCGTGCGACGCGTGTTCCCACCGCCGTATGGTGGGTGTCCACGGACTCGTACGGTGGTCTCGGGAGCCTGAAGGGTGGACTTCACGGG